CTATGCATTACAAAGCAGAATATTGAACACCACTCAAACATTCCTGAAGCCTTCACAAGAGGTGAAGTTCCTTGTATTATATGGAAAATGTTATGTGGATCTCAAGCTGGCCTTAAAAGTTATTGAAAGAACAAATGCAAGTTCAACTTGCTGTTGAACTATCATACATTGAAAACAATGATAGAATCCATCATATATATATATATATATATATATATATATATATATATATATATATAGATAGATAGATAGATAATATATAAAGTGACAACAAAAGTATTCTTTGTATACGGTTTATGATTTTTATTTAGTTGACACTTTGTGCTCCCATGTTAATTAAATAAAAAAATCATACAATGAATATCGTTTCATTACTTTTTATAAGGAATATACATGGATATTTACTCTCTATAGATAGATAGATATAAGCAGACTGAGATAGATAGATAGATAGATAGATAGATAGATAGATAGATAGATAGATAGATAGATAGATAGATAGATCTGTTTTTTTACTCTATTTTTCACTAATTACTTGAAAGTATGGGGAGAAAGTTGACAGAGTCTAGATTGTCAAAAAGACTTGGAAATCCTTCACACACACACACATATATATATAGAGAGAGAGTTTGTCTGATGATCGCAAAAGCATGAAATACAGGGTCACAAACTCATATCCATATGACTGAATATATTAGCTCTATCACTGATATTGAACACTTTCTAATAAGTACTGCACATATAAAATTATATATATATATATATATATATATATATATATATATATATATATATATATATATATATATTTCAAAACTAATTTAGCAACATATCCAGACTATAGATTTTTAAACTGACATATATATTAGCCTATGAGGTAACTGAGCTAAATTAGTTTTTCATCTTTCTCAAAGCTCAGAGAACAAAATATGAACAATACATTGTTTCTGGTTCTGGTAATCTCTGACCAAAGCAACAAAGGTTTAACTTAGAAAATGTTATCATTAGTTGCACGGATAACAATCACTATATCAATTTCAAGTGTTTTCAGAATAAAAGAAATAGACAGATTCAAGGTTCAAGGTAGACTTCCATTCTTACAGTCGTGAACAGAGAAGAAGTTTATCAAAAAATAACACTTTCTGATATCAACAACTCAATTTATTCATATACAAGGTTTGATCAAAAAATATTGGGACTGTTGCTATGGTAACAGAACTAAATTATGGAGAGTGAAGCTACTTGGCACAGATTGACTTTGAACTCTGTCACATATACACACTTGGTTATAATGTTCTTACTCACTTCCATTGTTTATAGCAGTGCTAGGAAAGAAAATGCAGAAGTTCCATCTGTAACCATGACTTCTGCAACAGCTTTTGGTTAAGCATAACATTCCCCGGGCCCAACCACCACCATATTCCTCAGATCTCAACCCTTGTGATTTTTTCCTCTTCAAAAATGAAATCCTACTTGAAAGGAACAAGATTTCAAGACATCAAGGAAATTCAAAAGAATGCAACAAGGTATCTGCTTGCCATCCCAAAAAAGGAGTTCCAGGAATACTTCTATCAGTGGAAATGACACTGGATAAAGTGTGTGGCATCAGAAGGCGACTACTTCAAATGTCAAATTGATATGTGCTATAGTTTTCTTTTTATAAACCAGTCCCAATACTTTTTGATTCAATCTCAAGTACAAATGAAGAGTTAAAATTCCATCTCTGGCCTCATTTTAATCTTGAAATATAAAACTTATTTTAAAATAGAACATTGTGAACTTCTTCCTTGCAGTCATTTTAGTATTTACCAAATACATTATCTTTTCAAGATATGTATTATTATTATTATTTTATATGAGCCTTACTGAATATTAAAGTTATTAAAATATGGAATTTTAGTTTAAATATCTGACTTTATATTGTAGCCTTATAAGCATCAAAAGATAGTGCTTTATTAATTAATTATTTTTATAGATACTTCCAGAAATATGTGGAATATTGGTCAGTATATTTTTACCAAAGTCTTCCATTTAGCTAATTTTTTTCCTAATTTCTTATCAGTTAAGTTATTGTTATTTTCAAACTTATACATGAATTTTAACTTGTTTTTCAAAAACTTGCCTTGTTTTCCTACCAAATTTATCTACCATCTTACATCTTGAGATCCTAAGGGAATTAAAATATGACTTTCTTCAATTATCTTTCTGGGTAATTTGCTTTTTAAGCCTCATGCTACATATATAATAAAAAATTGCCGAATAGTTATATTTACAGGTAAATTTACATGCTTAATTGGAAAATAACAAAGAAATTTTGATAAAATCTTCTGTTTAGGTGTTATCGACAATAAAAGTTCAGACTCATTCATTACAGCACAGCAGCCATTACTGGCATTGTTTGCATACATTGGCTGCTGATTAGATTTGCGTGGAAGATTACATTGTTAACAGCTTTTTTACGGTTCTTACTTGATTCAATTACTGCGCAATTGAGGACTCATTGTATGCACAATAATCAAGACTATTCTGCAGAAAATATATGCAAACACTAGTAATGGCTGCTGCGACACAAATAAGTCCAAACTTCTATTGTCAATAACTCCAAAATGGTAGATTTTATTAAAATTTCTTTATTTTCAAATTAAGCATATATGTTTACACCTAAATATAACTATTCAGCAAATTTTTATTGCATATTTAGCGTGGGGCTAAAAAAGCAAATTACCCGTTTTTCTTTCCCTAAATTATCAAATGTTTTTACGATAAATAATCTAATTAACTCATCCTAATTACCTTGACCAAATAATATCCATTTTTTTCATTTGGTTACTCACAGAAGAGAATTTATGCAAGTGATGACCAATCCATGAGGCTTGTTTCAAAAAAGTGACATCATTATCTGTGGTGTACATTACATCCCAGTGATGCTTGCCAATCAGTTTACACCTATCACTCCTCAGAGTTGTGTTGGATTTATTTTTTGTAAATATTAGCAGTTTTGTACTACTTTGAAAATTTTGTCTTTTACTGAAATTTAATTATCCAGTATAAGAAAGAAACGCTGTTTCCAACACAATCACATACACACATACATACCATATTAAAACACATCCAAACTTTATTTTTTACCTAATAACAGACAATATTACAAACATGCCAAAAGGATTTTACAGTACAATACACACTGTTTAAATCAAAGTGCCTATTGGTTACAAATTAACATCACTATGTGAAATATTTGACCAATTAGAGAAAACTAAAATCCAATTTTTCTCAAGCCTACTTTTGGAAAATATTTCTTATAAAACCCAGATTTTGATTTTCAAAGAGCACAGATGCAACTGTCTTCCCACAACAGAAACATGAACAGCCAGTGAATCATGTCCAGCAACAAAGACAGTGAATCTTCACTAACAATAAAAGTTTTTTCTAAACTGTAGATTTTTCTTTGGACCAACTACCCAAGGACTTTAACTTAACTAGACTATTTTTTACTCCTTTTTGATTTCATGAACATGTTTGTAAATATAAATTATTTATTTAACAAGAATACTCATGTTTTTATTTTAATTTTATTATTGTTTGGAATTCACACCAGTGCAATAAAAATAATTAAATGACAATAAGCTTGAATTAAATCAAAAATGGGAAAATGAAGACTGCATATTTGCATTTAAATCAATTTTCATTTAATGAACAAAAAAAATCAAAGATGTTTAGTAACTTACAGATAGAACTTATTGATTTGAAAAATTCATTATTAAAAATTAAATTTAAATTTTATGAACTTTCCTTTTTCATAAATGCTTCAGACGTTATTTTGTGAGCAGTTTCCAGAACTAAGAAAAATTGCTGTTTCAGAATGACATCTCAATCCATTTTAAGCTATGATGAGATTGATCAAAAATAAAATATGATAGCGAACGACAAATCAATCTTTTAAAAATTCTCGGCTGAATAATTAATTTGACTCCAAATATCAAAAGTTTGGTGAAATCAAATGACACTCCTCAACACTCATTTAAAGGAAGTGATACACACATTGTTCTTAAATTGAATCAAATTATCAATAAATATAAAAAATACTAAATATTTTTGCAAACATTTTAAATAGAAAACAAGATTCGCATAGTGCATCTGAACGGGTGCATGAAAAACGCATGCATTGATTGAAATGAAATGTTAGCTAATTATGTTTTTTTTATGTCATCCCATTTTATTTTGAAAATGTTATTTTCAGAAATACTTGAGTGTACTAACAAAGATAATTTTTATCGAGTTTATCAGTAAACATGTAAAATTTAAACCGTAGTGATATTCAAAAATGTAATATTCTTCTTTCTCACGTTCAAAGAAAGAAAGCGCGCTGTCTAAAATAAATCCATATTAAATAACAAACACTCAACAGAACGAAAGAAAAATAAAGGGTCTTTTCTCCAAGTTACTACAGAGAGTCAGTAGTAGAAAGAGATAAATTATGAGGTAATCAGATAAGAATGTAGAAGTATGAAAGAAGAAGGAGGGTTTCGCCATAAGGAACATAAAAACAATAGGAAAAAAATCGATAGAGAGAATGAACTGTTTTCATTGATGAAAGAAGTCGGTTCCGCTCTACATGTTTCCTATTTCCACTTGACAAACAAGTCAGACTTGTCATTAGTGTTTTTGTGACAGAGTTATGTCCCATCTGGTCCTCCGTAGTTACACCAGTGTCAAAGTTCCGGTATTGTTCACTTCCGCCGTAAGTGGCAGCCGGTCGGTTGGTCGGGCGGTCCTCACTTTGGTGTTGAGTATTTCTAATCTGATTTTCTCAAGCAACGACAAGACTAACAACAACAACAGCATACATAATAGACATTTCTTTACTTCATTTTTACACCATGAATACGGATTACATGGCACAATGGTTTTGGAATGAAAAGTTTTGGTTACCTGTTGGTACTTCATGGGTAGATCTTGAAAGTCAGTCTAAAGATGTCTATTATCCCCGGGCTGTCGACATGTGTTGGTCCCTTCTCACTGGGGTCTTTTTTCTCTGCTTTAGATACTTTTATGAAAGGTAAGACAAAACACACGTACACATGCATACAAATATATACACACGCACACATACACACATTCATGGAGACAATTTTACGCATTTTTTAATAGAGAAAAGCAACAAATACATGCCAAATATTTTTTTGAATTAAGGACTTATATTTTATTTTTACGCAATTGCATCAGTAACATATGTTTTTATGTTAAATTATTTGAAAACTTAATTAAACGTAGATTTTAGAGAGCTTTTATAAAGGTTGATTTTTAATTTTTAATTGACTATAGGTTTTTTCTTTTTTTTTTAATTTCACTCTTCTCGGCTTAAGAAACAAGAATAAGAATTTAAAAAATAAAAAAAAAGTTTAATTAAACATTATTTTCAATTGTGTGTAGAAAAGAAATTAATTTTTTTTTTTATTTATCTTTCTGAAATCTGCTTATTTTCTTTTCCTTGAAAAACTTTACTGATCGTTTTATTAAAAAGTTTTTTTTTGTTTTTTTTGTTTTTTTGATTCATAGATTTGTTTTTGTTGAGTTGATGAATCTTAAAAACTTTAAATGACGATTTAGCGTTTTTTTTAACCATAATTTTATAATTCGGCTTGAAATTTTATTTTAGCTTTTAGTTTTGTATTATCTTTTTTATTTTATGAAACATGAAATATATGTGGGAGACAATTTCTTTTAAATAAACTCCTCTATTAAGTAAGAATGTATTGTAAATGTCTTTTTTTTTTTTTTTTTTTTTTTTTAAAGCATTATCAGTACAGACCCCCATATTTGTCTGTTACTTTGGAGAAAAATAAAAAAAATAATACTTTTTATTACGTGATTTCTTTTATCCAAGTTTAAAAAGTAAAAAACGAGCATTTTACTGCTTAAAATGCTTTGTATGGAAGCAAAATGCAAATAACCAACCTTTTTTTTTCTCTCTCTCTATTCGAAATCAGCTGAAAGGAAAGTTTGTCAAGTTTGAAAAAAAAGTTTCTTTCTTCATCAGCAGAAAATGTTTACAATGAGTAAGAAAAAAATCAACCCGGTTCTCTCATCATCATTAGTTTGCTTTGCATTTGCAAATATAGAGAGACTTATTGTTAATTTTTTTTTTTTTTTTTTTTTGTTTAATAATTAAGAATTCATAGGAAAAGAAAAAGATTAATTAATCATTTAGAAGTAAAACATTTTTCTTAAAAATGGAAATTGGGTATTTTTTTTAAAAGAATTTTAAAATGAATAAATTCGGCACGTTTTTGGCCTCACTGAAAAATTGTTGATCTTTACGTTTTTTTTTAGTTGTTGATAATCTACATTTCCTTTCTTTATTTTAAAATCGAAAATGTTTGTTTCTTTAAGTCTATTACTTTTTTTTTTTTTTTTTTTTTTTTTTAAACTTTTTTAGTTTTACTTCAAGATTATATTCCACTGGTATTGCCATTAAGTTTAACTTGGGCTTTTTCCTGGGGTGGGGGAACCTTTAAAACCTCTCGAATAATGAAGGGATTTAAAATTTCTTTAAATAAGGTGAACAAAATAGATAATGTTAAATAAAAATCTACTTTTCCACTGTACAAAATGAAACTTAAGTAAATCCTTAGCAACTCAATTGAATTATCTTTACTTTATGACAGAAAATAAGTCGTTTTCATTGAGGAAAAGAGCGTGGTATTGTGCAAAAAAAAATCTTTTTTCCCTTTACTATTTTTAGTTCTTTAAAAATCTGACTGACAACGTATTTCCATTAGTATTTAAATTTTTTTTTCTTTAGATCTTTATGTTCTTTCCCCCCTCGTTAACAAGCACTTTCAGTTGAGGCTTTGAAAAGAATCCGTTTTTAACTTGTTTTCCTTCACTCTGCCTCGTCGTGGGTACACACCCTTTATTTCTAAATCCCATCATTTTATTCCAGGGAAATATCTTTAAATGTCCCTCCTTTCTTTCTTTTTATTCATGGTAAGAAGAGTAACATGTTTTCCATTTATTGGAGGATTTTAAAAATCAGTAGCTGTACAAAAAAAAAATCAATTACTCACTTGTTTTATTTTTGATTTATCATAAAACTTCTTTTCGTAAACTTTTTTTTTTTTTTTTTTTAGTTATTTTTAGTGTTACTGTTAAGATAAAATTTAGCATGCTTGTTTAACAGAACGACTCGCGAAAGTGTCACTTGGCCTCATTTAAGTTTTCTCATATTTCACTCGATAGTTCTCGTTCCCATCAATAAAGGACAACTGGCTATTTTCTTCAAGTTGCCGACGAAAACTAATAATACTCTATTATTAAATGTTCTTATCACTCCTGATTTTTCCTTAATTGTTGTTGAAATCATGAAGTCGTTTTATGAAAAGAAAAAAAAAAGATTGTTTTTCGCATAAACTTCTCTTTTCCAAAAGCAACATATCGATGTGAAAAAATACACTTCACTGCGGAACAAGAATTTAAAAAACAATAAGGAAAAAAGTAAATCAATCGTTGTAAAAACAGTTGATTATTGAAGTAAGATTAAGTAAGATTTCAATTTTCAATAATAACAGAAGAACGATTTGTTTAAGTCATTTGTCACAACTTTAAAACTATATTTTTTTTATGACGTACTAAAAAGCGATTTCATAAAGATCGATTTGATTCAAGTGTATCTACTGTAGTGTACAATGAACATTATTAAAAAATATCTTATTTTTAAAAAGTTAATTGCACTTAATTTAAAATTAAGAGGCATTAAAAAATGTGTTTATCTTAAATAATCATTAAAAAAAAACGAAGCTATTTTTATCTTTACATTGAGAAAAACCTTTTTGTTAACGCTAAAGTGCATTTTTCTTATTTTTTTCTCTCTAACGTTTCCACTTTTTTTTTTATAAAATGTTTTGTCATTTTTTTTCTTGATGGCAGTTTCAAATAACTCATAATTTCACAGTTGAACTTTTTCGAAGTTTGGAGAAAAATTAACTTTTCACATCGAGAAGAACGTGTTTTATCAAAGTTGACTCAATGTAACTGAAACTGAATTAAAACTTTTTTTTAATTTAAAACAAAAGGTTTTCTTTTTCTCTATCCTTTACGAATTTAAATGTATATTTTCTTATTTTTCGCACAACCTCTGACAGACTGTGCTTTTTTTAGCCAGTTTCTCTCATTAAAAAAATCTTCCAGTTATTGAAAACAAACTAAATTAAATAATAGCTTGATTGGAATCTTAAATGTGTGTAGTGTATATATATATATATATATATATATATATATATATATATATATATATATATATATAGGTGGGGACCTGGTGTCCTCATTATCGTATTGTAGAATTTTGAAAATTCTTCCTATGAAAGCGCAAAAAATCCCAAAAAACAGGCGCACATGCAGTTTTTTGAACATAAAAAGAATCTCAGGAAGCAACGACGGCCCAACCCAACAGTAACATTTTCATTTTATTTATTTTTATTTTTCTAGCGATGTTTCCTCCCCCCACTTGTTTTTTTTTTTTTTTTTTATATTAAGGAATAAAGAAATGTCAGATCTCAAAATATTTAATTTTAATGAATCTATGGTTTGAGTTGTAATTTAGGTTTGTCCTACAAAATTGCTCAGGTTTTCGGGGTTTTTTGTTTTGTTTTTTATGCGAACAATGATGAAAAATAGTGAGGTTTTGACCACTTAACGTGTGAAATAAGTACGTAGTTATGTGCTATAGAAAATCCTGTTGTCAATATTGGAATAAATCGATGTCTTTCAAGAAATGAGTAGGCTAAGAAGAAGAGTAGCACTTCTTAATTTACCTGACCGTAGTAAAAAGTATCAAAGTGCTCTGTGATAGTAATTGATTGTGAGATTGTTTACAAAACAAGTCTTTCAGGTTTGACATTACATATCGTTTCCGTTTTTACCCTAAGCATTTGACTGTTAAACCCCTACCCCTCGAAAATGGAATCTTCTTTTTTTTTTCTTTTTTTCAGTGCTAGTGATGCGAGAGAAAAAAAAAGATAAAGATGTAGCAGTGCTTCTTGTTTCAATTTGTCTTAAAAATCGAACCTTCCTTATTAACAACGGATAGTAGCATGTTTATCACATAATCAACTTGTATTTTCATATGCCGCGTGGTTGTTACATTTTAAAATCCATTATTTTTACTACTACTGCTATAGCTGCTGGTTTTACTTTTAGTACTTACTTGTAGGATTTTTAGATCTACAAAGAAGGCTTTTGTCACGTGTGTGTGTACACGGGAACTCTACTCTGGCTGTCATGGTAATTGCACTTAAGTCACTACTATCTTTGCTTGTTGGGGAGAAAGTATTGATTGATTGTTATCAGAATATCTGATGATGCAACTACTCAGCATGACACATGTTTGTTACACGATTGGTACTTGAAATTTTATCGAAAAGATGAAGTTTCAAATCCATATTTTGCTAAAAAAAAAAATTTGGTGATCGTACGAATTAAATATCGCTGCACATTTGTGTTACTGTTGTGTTAAGTCATGATGTCCATGTTGTTTAAGTATAGATGATCAGAAGTGCAATAACCGAAAAATGTTTTTGTAATTTTTGAAAAATTTCTATATATTTATTGCAGTGTTTAATTCCTTTTTTTTTTTTTTTTTTTTTTTAAATAAAAAGGTACTCTATTCTTTATATTTCATTATTTTAATTTTTTAAATTTTTTTTAAGCATTTGTTTTTACTTCATTTGTCAATTTTTTTTGTTTAAGAGAATTCATTGTTCCTTAAATTCAGTGAAGGCAGAAACAATTTTTCATATTGTATTAAAATAAAAATTTCTAATGAGAAACATCATTTGCTAGAAAAACAACTGTTCATTATAACAAGTTATAAATTTATTGATAACTTCTTCATAAACCATTTCAATTTTATTGCTTTTTTTTTTTTTTTTTTACTCAATCAATGGATGAGTGTTTTACAGATCGATTAGTAATCAGTTAAACCTTATTTGGCTAAGCCTTTTACGGTTGGCTTAGGTTTTTTGGTTGTTGATTCGTTAAATTTTATGCTAGTCTTTGTTT